CGTCCACCGTCTAATACATATAGTCCATCCTCCGTCCAAACGGGACGAGTTTAGACGAATACCCGCTTTTCCCCGGTCCACTGCCATCCCTACCCCTGAGTATAGTATTTATAAATAAAAAAATTAAATGCAAGCTTCAATCTAATTTCTTATAATGATTATTGTCAAAAATAAAATAAAGATTCTTTATTGCTTTTTCTGATAAGATTAAGGCGTTGGCCCATTTCAAACNCTTATCCCCATACCCGCTTAAGCTCAAGCCCAAGCCCAAGTAGCATAATCCAAAATTTTAAATAAATCTAATATTTTAAATAATCCAACAACATTTTAAATAATCTAGTGAATAATCTAAATTATAAAATGTAAAAGTCAAAACAATATAGTATTCTGTTTAAAGTGTCATTGGACCACAAAAAGAGAAACATAACTATTAGAGAGAAAGGAAAAAAATAAAAATAAAATTGAACTAAGAAAACGATAGCACTACACTTGAAGTTTTCTAGAATAATTTCTATTATTACAATTCATATTACAGTCATAAAGTGTTAAAAGATGAAAACTTAAAATTTCGCTATTCAATAATTCTCTCAATTTCTTAGTTCACTCTAGCAGAGAAACATATCAACTTCCATTCACAACTTTTCTATCTACAATGAAATGCAAAACTATCTTACTCTCTCTTATCTGTTTTTAGAGCATGATCAATCCAAACTCTTAACAGTTTCAATCAGTGAACACAAATAGAAAAAAAAGAATAATTAGAGAAAAAAATTGATAAAATTATCACATAGCAATGTCACTTGTTAATTTGATTACCATATTTCTAGATTAGTAATTATAGTAAATATGTTTAGTTAAAACTTGCAAGTATATATATATATATATATATATATATATATATATATATATATAGCGGGAGCGGGGGCGGGGAGGGGAGGGGAGGGGAGGGGGCGGGGGTGGGGGTAAGGATAAGTCCATCCCCGCCTTCATCCCCGTACAGGTTTATACGGATATTTCCGTATACGTCCACCGTCTAATACATATAGTCCATCCTCCGTCCAAACGGGACGAGTTTAGACGAATACCCGCTTTTCCCCGGTCCACTGCCATCCCTACCCCTGAGTATAGTATTTATAAATAAAAAAATTAAATGCAAGCTTCAATCTAATTTCTTATAATGATTATTGTCAAAAATAAAATAAAGATTCTTTATTGCTTTTTCTGATAAGATTAAGGCGTTGGCCCATTTCAAACTAGTTTTTTTTTTGGTGAAAAGTTATGGTTTGAAAAATTTTGGAAAAAAAAAAAAAGTTAAAAAAGTTTATCAAAACTATTTTTGGGGGTGTTCTTTAAAAAGTTGAAATAGTATTATAAGAGTATTTTTTTTAACTTTTTATGTCAAAATAGAAAAATAATTACATATATGTATACATTATGCATAATATTTTTCAAAATATGAATTTTAAATTTTTTATGTCACTGAAAATATTTAATGAATATAATAAATTAAAATTTTTATGTAAAACTTGTGACAAAACTCCAAAGTCCAAACGAACCTGTTGATATTTAACAACAATTTAAATACACTAACAAACACACNAAAAATAAAAATAAAATTGAACTAAGAAAACGATAGCACTACACTTGAAGTTTTCTAGAATAATTTCTATTATTACAATTCATATTACAGTCATAAAGTGTTAAAAGATGAAAACTTAAAATTTCGCTATTCAATAATTCTCTCAATTTCTTAGTTCACTCTAGCAGAGAAACATATCAACTTCCATTCACAACTTTTCTATCTACAATGAAATGCAAAACTATCTTACTCTCTCTTATCTGTTTTTAGAGCATGATCAATCCAAACTCTTAACAGTTTCAATCAGTGAACACAAATAGAAAAAAAAGAATAATTAGAGAAAAAAATTGATAAAATTATCACATAGCAATGTCACTTGTTAATTTGATTACCATATTTCGAGATTAGTAATTATAGNCTTATAATGATTATTGTCAAAAATAAAATAAAGATTCTTTATTGCTTTTTCTGATAAGATTAAGGCGTTGGCCCATTTCAAACTAGTTTTTTTTTTGGTGAAAAGTTATGGTTTGAAAAATTTTGGAAAAAAAAAAAAAGTTAAAAAAGTTTATCAAAACTATTTTTGGGGGTGTTCTTTAAAAAGTTGAAATAGTATTATAAGAGTATTTTTTTTAACTTTTTATGTCAAAATAGAAAAATAATTACATATATGTATACATTATGCATAATATTTTTCAAAATATGAATTTTAAATTTTTTATGTCACTGAAAATATTTAATGAATATAATAAATTAAAATTTTTATGTAAAACTTGTGACAAAACTCCAAAGTCCAAACGAACCTGTTGATATTTAACAACAATTTAAATACACTAACAAACACACACAATCGAAGAACAAATTAAGAATATAAAACAATAAGAAACAAGAAAGAACAAGACACAGATTTTACGTGGTTCGGCAATTTGCCTACGCCCACGAAGCTGCAGGAATTTCACTATTGAGAGAGTTGAATACAAAGAGCAGCTGTACAATCCACCATATTAACCATAATCACCAAAATAACGGGTTTTATATTTCCTACGCACTGGACTATATAACGAGGCCAAAATGGCTTGAGTCTATCGGCCCAAGCCTTCGCTCCATGGACTAAGTCTCAGAAAATTTTTCATTAAAAAATCACATAACATTACTTCGGGTCGGGTCATCATCCGGATCATATATATAAACTAGACTCCACAAAAAACCAACAGAACCTACTTTATTTTACTCTAGAATCCTTAAATACTATTTCTTTAAACTAGCTCCAAACAAACTTGCTGTTTAACACTATCATAAAAAATAATTAGATTAAATTAAATAATTAAACAACAAATTTAACATATCCATGTCATTATTGGTAGAAAATAGATACAGTGATGAAATTTAATGTATAAAGTAATCATTTAAACAAACATATTTGCACCGTCAAAGTTAGAGAAGAAAAAAAAATATGAGAGAATTATCCAAATTTTTTGAAACTTATCATTTAATTATTTAGATATCTTATATTTGAAATATTAAACTCAAATTATTTGAAGTTTATTGGTGTATAATATTTAGACCTTTAAGTTTAAAATATTATATTTAGATAATTTATTAGTTATATAACTAACAAAATGTATTAAATGACCAAATTATTCTAATTAAATATAAAAAATATTGTGTTCATTATAGTTTGACCTCTTGTTTGATTTTTTAATTTTATTTCAATATATAATATAATTATATATACTAATTATGAATTTTTTTAAGAAAAAATAAATTTTTATTTTTAATTTTATTTCAGTAAATGACATAATAAAACATAAATTTTGGTTGTAAAATTTAAAATATTTAATATTTTATTTTTGATTAAAATATTTGTAGTATAAATATAATATTTTAAATTTAAGGGTTTAAATATTATATATATACAAACTTTAGAGAATTTAAGTATAATTTATTAATAAATATTAACGGAATTTAAATGTTATGTGTTTACAAATTTAAATGGTTAAGTGGTAAATTTCAGGAGGTCGTCAGCTGTAATTCTCTCAAAAACATTTGGGATAGAAAATGATTACTTCAAAATAAAGGGAAACAACCCAAAAGACAACGACAACAATTTCTAAGTTCCCCCCCCCCCCCCCCCCCCCCCCCCCCCCCCCCCCCCCCCCCTCCCCCCCCCCCCC